ACCCAATCAGCGTAATAGTTTTTGTATATTTTCAAAACATTTTTTAATATTTTAGGAATTTTATTTTTATTATCACTTAAGAGCGACAAATATAAATACACTACCAGAATATTTCCTTCGCCGTGAAAATTCTAATTCCCAAATATATCTGTAGACGAACAAATTTTCAAGCAATTAAATTGCTAATTTTCATAGAGCCGAGTGAATTTATTCAAGTGGCAAATATGTAATTAAGCATTCAAAGTCATTTATATATATATATATCAATGCGTAAAAATCATATATATATTATATATATTAAATATCAATTATATGTTTTCTATTTTAATATTAAGAATTTTAATTAATTCTTAATTTAAATAGATAATTGATTTTAAATATATATTGACCAATAGAATTATTTCTTCTTTCACAAGTTATAAGAAATAAATATCAATTAATTATTGGCCAATCAGATTATTTTTTTTCTTCCAAGTTACAAGAGATAAATATCAATTTAAATCGAGCCAATCAAATCGTGCCACATCATCAGTAAGGCCCATCAAGAACTCTTGTTCTGCCACTATAAATAGGGACCCTCCCTTCACAATTCAAACACAACTGAAGGAGCAGAAATCGTAGGAGCGAAATTCTCTCTACAATTCAGAAGCAAGGAAGAAGAATTCGTAGGAGGTAAGATTCTCTCTCTACATTCAAAGTGTTCTTCGTCAAATTCGAGGTGTTCTTGAGCAAATTCAAGGCATTTTTCATCAAATCCAGCGTTCGATCCGAAACGGTGCCAAACCTTCGGATTAACGTTAATCAAATTCAAGTCAAGATCATTGGAAGATTGAAGGGCCAAATCCATCAAGAACTTCAAGATCTTCAAGTCAAATTTAGTCAAAGTTCAACGTTCGATCCGAGATTCAAGTCGCAAGACCCTTGGAAAACGTTATTCAAATCCAAAATCAAATCCGGAGAAGATCAAGTCAACGACCCGACTCCGAAAATTCAAGTCAACTATATATTGTTCTAGAGAGAAGAATCAGAGGATTAAAATAGAGATTGTAACCCGCAATTTATTTATTTTAATTCAATAAAATCATCTTTGTTCAATTTTTCTTGTTTGTTTATATCGCAGATAAGAATTTGTTGTTACAATATCATCGGTGAGTAATCACCAAATCAACTCGATAAACGACCCTAAAAATGCACAAACTCGGACGAATATAAATATTCATTCAAGAAAAAATAGAATTATTTAAAATAAATATGATATTGCAATCTTTTCTAAGCAAATCAATATATTATGGATTAATTTACATACATGAACTCATCAATATTTCGATTTACCATTAGCACCGGTGCACCACGCAACAATTTTATTATATTTGCAAGAAGAATGTATTTTTTTATCACTCCCTTTGTGGCGTTGCGATGAAATTTTCTACACAGGTAATATACTATTCGCAAAAAAATAAAACTCTTGCGAATATAATTTTGTTGTGAATATAAATATAATTGTTGCTAGAAACTAATTCTTTTGTATTATTATTATTACTATTATTATTACTATTACTATTACTATTACTATTACTATTACTATTACTATTACTATTACTATTACTATTACTACTACTACTACTACTACTACTACTACTACTACTACTACTACTACTACTACTACTACTACTATTACTATTACTATTACTATTATTATTATTATTAGGGTAAATTACAAACACCCCCCTGAGGTATGGTCAAATTACAAAAACACCCCTCTTGTTTGGATAATTACAACCACCCCCTCAACTCATCAAATTTAGTGGAATCTTCGAGATTATATGGAATATTATCACTTTTGTACCCGTTTTATCCCATTCAAACACTATATTATGAAGCAAGATGATCATAATATGTGATATTTAGCTTGTATATATCAGTTTGTGGTGCATCGAAAACTGTATTTTTTACACAAAAAGAGTACAAACTAGAGCACATTTCACGGAATCTAGATGACTATGTTGAATTTGGCACCATAAAGGTGGAGGTCTAAGAAAAAATCATAGTTGAGGGGGGTAGATGTAATTATTCAAACAAGAGGGGGATTTTTGTAATTTGACCATATCTCAGGGGGTGTTTGTAATTTATTATTATTATTATTATTATTATTATTATTATTATTATTATTATTATTATTATTATTATTATTATTATTATTATTATTATTATTATTATTATTATTATTATTATTATTATTATTATTATTATTATTATTATTATTATTATTATTATTATTATTATTATTATTATTATTATTATTATTATTATTATTATTATTATTATTATTATTATTATTATTATTATTATTATTATTATTATTATTATTATTATTATATCCGTGTGTATTTTGTCCCAATGTAAACTTTCAGTGCATATTTTATTGGTGTATTACATCATTATCGTAAATCTTATGTTTTTTTATATAAATTTACGATTTATTCAACGATTTGAATCGAGAAGGGTTCAAATTTTATAGGGTTAAAAGCAGTTTGCCACCGCTGCTCCGACTGTCCCCGCTGCTCCCACCGCCGCGACTTGCTTTTATTCGCCAAGAAATGCAAAGAATTGCTTTGATTCAAGCACCAAAAACAACTCAACCCCCATAAATCTTAATCGAAGTATCCAAAGCTCCAAGAACATTGATGAAATGTTTAATAAATCAGTGCAAACGCGTAGCAGCAAACGCAAAATTGCAACTACCACCACAAAAATTAACCATAAACAGCCCCAATCAGATACATGATGGGTAGATTACCTATGATCGATTACAGCAGTAATTGAAAGATTAGATCACTGACAATTGAATCCCAACTCAAAATCGTGAATATTCTCAAACCCTAGCGCCGCCGCGTGAAAATCAGCGCCACCAGGTGACACAATCTTCCCGAAAACTTGTCAATACATGGGAAGGAAAGAGGTGGCACAAGGAGGGAGCTTTAACTAGGTTTGGTGCATTTATGGGGAAAATTGCATTTCAGTCCCCTAATTGAATGGATAAGAGGGCTTCGCCTTCTTTAATTTTTTATTCATTTGATTTTTAAGGATTTAAGTGGAAGGTTAACTTTAACAAAAAAAATAAAAAATCTTTTAAGATAGCCGCGGCCACGCACCTTGGCAGCAGCCACGAGGTCAGTCATAAAAAAAAATAAAAGATAAATAAATGGAAAAAAGAATCTGTCAGCCCACTTCACAATTTCTCTCCCTCTTTGCTCTTAAACCCGCCGCCCCTCCCCCCATTTTCACCGCAAAATTTTCATTTTTTTCATCAAACCTTTTGAAATCACTTGCAAAACTTGGCTTCAATCTTCATATTTCATCAAAATCTTAGGCTTGTGGGTTCAGTTTCACTTAAATTCCGCTACACCCAAGGTAAGAACCCTAATTTCAGTTTTTGGGGATTTTTCAATTTTGATCCGAATTGACTTGTTCTTCAGAAATTTGATTTTAGTTCGAATTAACTCCAATCTCTTGCTTGAATTTGAACAAGAACTCATTTTTAGGAATTGTCCCTAGCACTGTTATCTTTTATTTTGGGGTCAAGTTCTTGGGTAATCTTTTTATTTAAGAAACATTTGATGATGTGGTGACTTAGCCATTTTTGTTTGTATGATTGCACTATTGGTAAGAACCCTAATTTCAGTTTTTGGGGATTTTTCAATTTTGATCCGAATTAACTTGTTCTTCGCGTGGATTTCCGGTTATTGTCTTAATTAATCACGGGTAATCTATCATGGTGATTGTGGAAGTCAAATTTCTGTCCAATTGTGGGAAATAGACAGAAATCGCTGTGCGTTTACTCTTCTAACTATTTCTACTATTTTGCTAGTGTTTTCGTTCCCTTTGTAGTGGTAATCTCTTCCCGACGGCCAGTTTAAACAAAATTGATCAGCACTTCTGACCCCTAACGGTGAGAAATCTGGCCTGAAATCAGGTAAATAATGTTACACAAATTCTTCTGACGATTTCCTTTTATGTTTACATCAATAATCATATATAATGAGTTTTCCAGTTCAAGCACACAACGTAATAGGGCAACTTGTACATCCACTGAAGGCGGCTCATCTATGCCGTCATATGAGGGGTTAAATTTCCATTGTTATTGTGGAATTGACGCGACAATTAGAACCTCGCGGACCGAAAAAAACCCAGGAAGACGTTTTTTTTGCTGTTCAATGAATATCGGAGTGTAAACGATTCCTGATTAAAATTGGCCATGCATATTATACTGGAGTGTTACAATTCACAATATCTTATACTCCGCGCATGTTATATTGGTTTGTTAAGGTATCAAGTTTTATTTGTATACTCTCACTTTATTTGTTATCTAACTTAAATAATATTTTGTTCTCTTACATTTCGTGTTGTCATGATCATAGTTCGATGAATTAAAGAGAAAGAAAGCGAGAGACGGAGACGCGTCGGAAGATCCAAAACCCCGAAAGCGAGAGACGGAGACGCGTCGGAAGATCCAAAACCCCATTTATCGTAAATCTTATGTTTTTGTTATATAAATTTACGATTTATTCAATGATTTGAATCGAGAAGGGTTCAAATGTTATATCCGATTGTAATTTTGTCAAGTTTATTTCGCTTTATTTTTTTATCTAACTTAAATAATATTTTGTTTCTTATTTATCATTTAAGAGCGAAAAATATAAATACACTACACATAGGTATTTCCTTCGCCGTGAAAACTCTACATCCCTTATATATGCACGGTGGATATTACTAATTAATATCATATGTATTTATTACAACTTGCATTAAAACCTAATAAACAAAGGATGATAATAATTAATATCAAGAATGATTTTTTATCTCTTTTTGAATAAACTATGCAAGACAAGTATGTAATAATAATAACAACGACAACAAAGTTCCAAAATTTTACAATATTATATTATAATTCGAATTGAATACTCGAATTAAAATTAAAATTCCCCAAAGATATGCTTCGCCACGACGTCGGCACCTAAGTCTGGTATGGCCTTTAATATATGATAGCATTCCGTAAAAGAAGGAACCTTCGCCACGTCGTCAGTCTTCTGTCTCTGATTCCGCAAAGTGGAAGTTTGCATTTCATCGGCACCCCGCTTGCTGCTACCGGTTATCTACTTCGAATAGGTTAAAGCTGCTCTGGAAGTGTGCTTGATGAATATGTCCGTGCACTTGTCGAAGAGGTCCGGATCTGCCAAGAAGCATTTAAATGCCCTTTTACCAGCCTCCTGAAAAAAAAAAATGAAACAAAATCAGTAAGAAATTTATATATTCAGCAATAAAAGAACACACAAAATCAGCATCCTAAATTACATCGAGGTGGGCTGACATGTCTGGCACGGTACCAATTAGCATCCCGGTGTTGTCGTCAATCTCCAAACCATAAGACTCACGACCAACTTTGGCCCTCTTCTTGTAAAATGCCAGCCACGTGCTTCTGATCTTATCAAACTTGTCTTTACATTGTTGTGGTGAAAATGTACTTCCTTTGTCATGGAAAGACTTACTGATCTCTTCCCAACGTAGATGACGAAGGTTTTCTTGTAAACCGGAGTCTTCTACCATTTTGTGGCATAATTGGAAGAGTGTTGACACATCGGGAATATTCCAATGGGCTGGCATCTACGATAAATAAACAAGACAAAATCAAACTTATGAATAAGATAAGGAACAAGAAGCAAGATAATGTCACATAAACAATCACATATAAATTTAGAACCAAGTAATCGATCCTGACAGGGTCAGGAGAGAAACCTGCAAAACTAGTGCTCGGCGAAATAAAAATTGGTTGTCATGGCAAAGCAAAACAAATTGCTCCCACGGCCAAATCACATTCTGTGAAACTGCCAAAAGCAACCGTGAAACAACCTTAACAAAGACACTACAAAGATCCACAAGACAAGCTTCAACCCTAGCTAGTAAATTGTGTTTTATTGTGTAAATTGCTTCGAGTTCTTGTTTCAAATTTCATGGGTTCTCTATTTTCATGGGTGCATTTGACCTACAGCCCGTGATATTTCTTTAATATGCTGAATTTATGCTCACTTGCACCGGCGCACTTTAGTTTCGAATTTTATATGAATTACGAGATGCATTACTCGAATCTGATGAATTTTCGAGTTTATTTGATGTCTCTCCCTCTCATTTTGTCCAAGTTTCATATGTTAATATACAAAAACTAACATTTTTTTTTGAATTGTGTAGGAAACTTTTATAGACAAGCCGTATGCAAACCTTATTGATAAATTGACTCCGGAGCAGAAAACGGTCTCGATAATCTTCGGCGCTCATGTGCCACTTCTTTGTATGAACAAAAAGTGGGTGCACGATCCGTGGACGCACTGTGGGAAGCAAGTTGAGGACTATATGCACATTCTATGCATAGGAGATGATAAAACTAGAACCACATGGAGGACTGGGGGGCAGCAAGAAATTGGTTAGACCATTTCAAAAAAGATGTTGAAGCTTGGCAGAAGTTAATGAGGCATGTACCATCGCCTCCTCTCGCCTCGTCTTCACATGCTGCTGAGCCATCTCAGTCCACCACTCCTCTCGCCTCTTCGCATTCTCCTCAGCCGGATCCTAGGAACCTTGGGGGTTCATCTACATCGCCTCCTCTCGCCTCGTCTACACATGCAGCTGAGCCATCTCAGTCCGCCACTCCTCTCGCCTCTTCGCATTCTCCTCAGTCGGATCTTGGGAACCTTGGGGGTGATTCAGTCGAGCAATTCTTCGATCAACTTAATTATGCTAATGTCCCTGAAGATCTGAATGGCGCCTCACAGCCCGATATTCATCCCGAATCCTCCACAGCTCCTTCACATTCACCTTCACCTCCCCTCCAAGTTTCTGCATCTCCAGAGCCAGAATTCGTCACTCCTCCCCCCCGGTCCTTCGAAGGTCTATGCGGGAGAGGAAGATCCCTCGGTATTTGAGGCCGCCCTATACAGCAGTTCCTGAAACGTCTTGCAGAAAAAGGAAGTAGAGCTGCTTCATTATGTGAGTATCCTCTTCTTTTAGCTATTTGTTTCTTTATCGAGTCCACTGGTGGGTTCGATTGATATTTTTTTTTATAATATGACTTTCACATCCAGTCAACTGACTGAACATAGTTTTTTAACGAATTATTCTTGGGAATATAAGTTGTGAAACTTCTCTCCCTTCAAATTAATTACTCTAGATTTCCCAGTAATTATTAAAATGTTTATTTCAAACGCCTGTGAAGGTCTAGCTATTCTCGTTTTCTTTATCATGATTACTAATACATCACAGTTCTATTATCGAGTCCCACTGGTGGGTTCGATTGAATTTTTTTTTATAATATGACTTTCAAACTCCAGTCAACTAACTGGACCCAGTTTTTTAACGAATTATTATTGGGAACTCTAATTTATTATTATTTGCATTTTATCACTTTTCTTATGGGTCTTTTCCAGATAGAAGAGAAGCAAAGGGAAGTCTCTCCGGTGAAGAGTCTGTGGCCCTCTTCTTGTAAAATGCCAGCCACGTGCTTCTGATCTTATCAAACTTGTCTTTACATTGTTGTGGTGAAAATGTACTTCCTTTGTCATGGACAGACTTACTGATCTCTTCCCAACGTAGATGACGAAGGTTTTCTTGTAAACCGGAGTCTTCTACCATTTTGTGGCATAGTTGGAAGAGTATTGACACATCGAGAATATTCCAATGGGCTGGCATCTACGATAAATAAACAAGACAAAATCAAACTTATGAATAAGATAAGGAACAAGAAGCAAGATAATGTCACATAAACAATCACATATAAATTTAGAACCAAGTAATCGATCCTGACAGGGTCAGGAGAGAAACCTGCAAAACTAGTGCTCGGGAAAATAAAAATTGGTCGTCATGGCAGAGCAAAACAAATTGCTCCCACGGCCAAAGCACATTCTGTGAAACTGCCAAAAGCAACCGTAAAACAACCTTAACAAAGACACTACAAAGATCCACAGGACAAGCTTCAACCCTAGCTAGTAGTTCAGAAGCTAAAAACATTAAAAACAGGGCCACTTACAAGAATCTTCAAAGTCCAGCACCCACAGTTAACCTCTCAGCTAAGATAGCCACACAAAAAGGATGTTTCCTTCCTATTACAACCTCTAAACAGCTTTCTAACAAACGAAAAAACTGCAAAAAAAGTGGCTAAACTTCGCTGAGGGTACTAAACCATTGAAGACTCGTGTTCATGGACCCAAAAACTAGAACTAGCGGCTTATAGTAGAAATTTACGATTTCACCTATTTTTGTCGCTTCGATTTCTGCTTAAGAAAGTATATCGCACCTCCAAAGTATATGACACTAAGACCAAAATAATTTCGAAAAAACAGAGAAAAGCAGAGCCACACAAAAAAGGATGTTTCCTTCCTATTACAACCTCTAAACAGCTTTCTAACAAACGAAAAAGTTGCAAAAAAAGTGGCTAAGCGAATAGTAGAAATTTACGAAAGTATATCGCACCTCCAAAGTATATGACACTAAGACCAACATTATTTGGAAAAAAACAGAGAAAAGCAGAACACAATTTACCGGAGTGCTACTAGAAGCAATGGACTCGGCGGTCGGGTCGCAAGTAATCCACTTCGTCTTCCTCGTCTTCCTCTTCGTCTTTCTCTCCTCTTCATGTTTTCTCTTGTGGGAACGCAAGTAATACATTAGGCAATTAATAATTTCAACCACTTCAATTGATGTCTAATCGCCGCTCGGAGGAGACGCGAGTGCAGAGCAGCAATTAATGGAATAGAATGTGCTTGAATTCGGAACCGAGAGCATCTCGTGCATTCTATGCTCCCATGGGTACGATACGTAACCATCTTCGAGCGGAGCTTTCTCGAGTGCACTCACCATCCTTGAGGTTCTAGAAGCTGCATTCATTAATTAATTGATTAATTAATTATAAATTATCAGCTAAAAACAAAAAAAAAAATGGACATGTTGAATTTTCTCAAAAAATGGACACATTTAGGTTGGACTCAAAAAATGTGCTGTAAAATTAAAAAAAAACACAATAATATATTATATTTTTCATTTTACAAAAAAAAGTACATTAAGCTTTTCATTTTATAGAATATTTATTTTTAAATTAAAACAAGAATTTTTGACTTGATAGGGGTAATTTAGTCTTTTCCAGTTTTCCATTCAAGGGGGTTATGTGCTAATTTTATACCAGAAGGGGGTTATGTAAAAAATTTCAAAACCACAAGGGGGTTATGCGCCTAATTTCATACCATAAGGGGGTCATGTGCAAAATTTCAAAACCACAACGGGGTTATGTGCCTAAATTCATACCACATGGGGGTCATGTGCAAAATGTCCAAACCACAGGGGGTTAAGTGCTATTTACCCTAAATGATACCGAATAAACTGCAAATCCCACTATAGGTTCTTGATTAAAAAAAAAAAAAGAAAAAGAAAAAAAAGTAGGAGAAGAATACATACAGAAATACAGATAGATAGATACAGAAGGAATTCGGTCAGCTTGTTGAGAGAGAGAGAGAGAGAGAGATGGCGAATAGACGGATTGGGAAGACGATACCCTGCTCTGCATTCAGTGTTTTTATTCTGCTACTCTCCTCTGCTACTTCTCAATCACAACCTAACCAGGTAATTCTTTTTCTTGCTAGATCCTCTTCCAATTAAGAAAATGAATAAAATTTTGAAATTGGGGATTTTTTTCAATTCAATTCGATCTTTACCCGTTTATATGGGTTTCTGTTTTCATTCGCGATGAACAGCGAAAAAAGATATGAATCTTGCTTTTAACTTCACATAATCAAGGCCCGTTCGTTTTATTTAATGATTACAGTTTCTTGAATTTTGGGTTGCTTCAGGTTATGGAATGCATGAATTAACAGTCATTTAACGACCTAAAAAGTCTATATTACATGAATTAATTTGGGGATTTTAGGTTTTTTTTTAGTTGCCACTCTAATTCAATTACAGCAAGTAGTCCAAGAACCCTAGAAAAAGAAACAGAAATCGATAAATCAACAAGTTATTATGAACCTTAAATCAGAAAGTATGATTCTTGGTTCTGATCGAGTTTGCAAATTCTAGTAATCAAGTGTGTGACATGGTTAATTAGTTTTACACGTTCGATTTTGACCGTCTCTCGTTCACTTAAACACTTTCGATTTTTACGTA